CATTAATTTCATTGTAAAACAACGATAAAGAAAAAAATTGATAAATGATAAAACGAAACCTAAAATTTGAGTAATCAAACCGAACAAATCCCCCGAAAATCTCTGCTCCAAGAGAATCATGAATAAAACCTCAAACCCTCTCACCAAGAAATCATGTAAAGTGATGTAAATACCCACTTATAAAAAGCCCATTAGCACTTATCCACTAATGAATAAACTACCGAAGCCAATAAATCTCCGTCAAGGTCTGCGATGATCTCGCTGCATCAATGCACCTCTACCTTTTTCCAGATGGAATTGTCCGAGCCTCTGATTGTCGAAGCAATCTACATGTACGAGAGGGAAAATGCAGAGCTGCATCACACAGACAGATTCGAATTGGTCCACGAGGAGGAGCCGACGCCAGTTCTCCGGAGAGGCCAGGAATTCAGTCTTGCTATCAGATTCAATCGTGAATACGTTGAGGAGACGGATATCGTTCGATTGCTCTTCAGCTTTGGTGCTAATGCGAGTGTCTTCAAGGGAACCAGAGGAATTGAGCAAGTGAAACCTAAGCAGCATGGACCCCTGGATCTCGAGGCTTGGGGTGTCAGGATGGTGGGGAATACTGATACCGATCTTATGGTGGAAGCTAGGAGTCCTGTGGATAGTCCTGTGGGAATCTGGCAGCTAAATGTGGAAACCACAACTCTTGGGAGCAGACAACCTCCCAATACCTTTCATTATGAGAAGGATATCTATTTGCTCTTCAATCCGTGGGTTAAAGGTATGAATTTCTGCGCAATTTGCGATATTTTGGAATTAATTTGGGGAGATAAGCTGTGAGATTGCTTCGGGTAGATGTCCTAGGGTATTTGGAGACCATTTATCTGGAGGATTTGTTAAGAGACCTCGATTTATTGATCTGATAGGGACAGGTGCTGGTTTGAAAGTTTTTGATATTTCCATTTTTCTCAGTTTCAATTCAATTTTAATTCGAAAATTTCACTGATTTTATTCACTTCTAAATTAAATATAACGAAAATT